TCCGGCAGAGCTCCCGCAATCGGTGGGGCAACCTCCCACAGAGGCCTTGGCGCGGACCTACGGGTTTCAATCCCGCCTGCCGCCTTCCTCTCGTAACCAAAAGACTAGACTGAGAGGAAGAGAGATAGAGGTAGGTAAGTCAGACTCTCGAGATCCAGGAGTGGTGCACTCAAACTTACAGGGAGAGGGCCTTGAAGTCTTCCACTCCTGAGGGCCCCGCAATGATGGCCAGGGAAACGCAGGAGAAGAGGACCAGAACCCGAACTGGAATGTAACACACAAGTCCCCTGACAGGTTCCCCAAACCGCCGCAATGTACCCCCCCCTTTTCAGAGTCGGACCCGCTCTCCAAGGCCGCCGCGTTCTCTTCTGACCAGACTGCAACCACGCAGCCTAGAACTACTACTTCCGAATAGAGCACACTCCCGTGCTCTATGCTGAGCGCAGGACAAAAAGCAGTAACTGCGGCAACAACTGGACACTCTGTAGATGTCGAGCGTGAAGCCGCAAGGCGTGTTGCAGCAGTAGTTGCTCTATCGTTTGCGACAGCCAGTACTTTTAGAGATAGCCACGCCGTGAATCAACACTCAATAGCCCACGGCCACGGTAGTTAGCAGAGAGAGAGAGAGAGAGAGAGAGAGAGAGGGAGAGAGGGAGAGAGAGAGAGAGAGAGAGAGAGAGAGACAGAACTTCCTAATCCTAATCAACCCTTACCCTTACTTGGCCTACCATCCCCTGATTCATGCTCGTTGTTACTAGGGCGATAACACGCTATACTTCGTGTTGGCGTCGACAATTATGATCACAAAAGTTATGTCATGAAGAGCGAGTGTCACTTAAAGATATCCACCTCCTTGAGAAAGTCCAGTCCCTATGGTCCACACGTATAGCTGATGCGCCAAGTCTCATGTACCATTTCTAGCGTTCCGCTTATTAACATTCACCTATACCTTTGTCTGGTTCCTTTATACAGGCCTGGTTTTGCGACTCTGCGTACAAGGGATGACTTCATCTACTTGATACAAAGTACCCCTTCCAGCCTCCACCGCCTGCCTACGTTGTTTGCATCTCGCTTCCTTAACTTGCATGTAGTAGTTGATGTCAAGGGTATAGCCCGTTACCCCTGACAGTTGACACGTGGCGTGGTACGTTTATCACCAGAGCATGTGAACTATTCACGCGATGAGTTGCGAACAAGACCCCAGTGAGTAACTCACGCCGAGCAAGAGAGTCAGCGAAAACAGTCTCTATTGCTCGCATGTCTCCCTCAAGAGTCCCTTGAAAGGTCTGACTCGTAGTGCGCTCGCACAAACGCGCCCCCTTCTCAGATTGAAGGGTATGGCGGCAGAGCCGTCGGCATCAGCTACCCGTTCATGCGCAGCGGCGTGCCCATTCTGATCAGGTCTCGCAGAGTTATCGCACAGGTCCCGCAAAGTTCTCATGTAGTTCTCGTTCCCTTTCTCCAGTGCATATTACGCACTCTCTCACACCCCCCCCCCCCCTACTGTTTTCTCTGCGCATACTCTCTTCCGAGTGTGCAATGAACAGTCTTGTATCATCCTGGTCGCCCATGGATTCCGAAAAGCGAGCGCACACGACTTTTTTCATTCGTGGTGGTGAACATCGCCGCCACAAGCGCAAGAGAATGCGTCTGATTATGGAGAAGCTCGCCAAGGCAGAATGGCCTATGCCACGAAGATGGGAGACTCTCGACGTGTCCTGTAACCTTGGTACATCTCTCTCGCTGGTCATGCGTGCCTCTCGACTGTAACTGCCTAGTGGTTCCTGACTCTTCATTGTCTCGAGTTGGCCTCCGGGCCGTCTTCCACAGGGTCAGTAGGCGGGTGATCCCGCTGCCACTGCTCCAGCCCGTGCCAAGATCTGGGTGGTCGTTGGACTCGGACTCGGCCTCTGAGTCTCAATCCAGCCGCTGCTGTTCATGCTGAGTCGTCCCCATGGACGTCTCCGTCTCGTGGTAAGTGATAGTAATCTGAACCTCTATCGTGACTCTGTCCCTTCTGCACCTTCGTTTGGCCCTATTCTTGGCCTCGGTCACGGCCGCCTGCAGCTTTCGATCGGACCTCATTTCTTCTTCCTTAGCCCCGTCCACATTAATCTTCAGTTTGGCTTCGTCACCACCATCGTAGTTTAGAATGATCGTAATCCAGGGGCCCTTCCTTGACTCTTGAGACCACCGCATTATGAGCCTCCAACAGTCCGGCTTATAGCCACACAGGCCATTTCGGCAGGCCATAGCTGCACGCTTTCAGGATAGGCGAAGTTTGGTACCAGGCGCTCGTGCACACAGACAGCTCACCGCCCAAACACCTCACCGCTCCACCCTGCTATCCCAAATTGCCAACATTAGCGCTGAAGTTTTCAATGTGCACCTACTGGCCAGTAGCGAGAAATGCAGCTACCACTCTTATAGGATTAGTACAGACTGTGATCTCTGCGTACTAAACGGGGAACCAAAGGGATTCCTTCGATGATAAAATAAAATGAAAGAAATAAAAAAAGAGCTTCACAAAACGGCGAAATGATTTAAACAGACTCTTGCGCCTTAGTGGTCGCCATCCTGTGTTTGCCTACCATCAGCGCCCACCCCCTACACGCCTTAGCCCCAGAAAGACTGCAGGCTGGCGTGGAGGTCCCGTAATGAGATTCAGATAGGCGTCTCCCTCCCTTCAAAACAGACCATTGGACTACCCTTGCCGGGTACCCGTGTCCGATGGCAAGGAGGGGACTCATGACCTTCCGCGGGGGTGATGAGTCTCCTACCAATGCAGCCGCGGGTGCTCCCGTTTTGGGGTCCCTATGTTGATAGCACCTCACCGGTTGAACTCACGACGAATGAAGTGCGAGGGCCGGGCAGTCGTGGCCACCCTCTCTCGAATCATAATTCAAAACTCAGACCGTTCGTTCCCCCGCGACATGACTGGGCAGGGAACTAGAATTCGTAAAGACTAAATAAAGGGAGATTTAATAAAAGAAAAGGGAGGGAAAGGGCCCTAAGCGGCGCTACATCTATGGGCTGTCTGATTTGACATCTAAAAGTAGCGGTCCGAATTCGGACGCAATATGAAACGTAAGATCTTCATTTCCATTTTCCCCCTTTTCCTTTATTTTATTTTTCTTTCCGTCTTCTTTTCAAATTTCTTCAGCCTCTGTACCTATCCCATAACTCGACTACCAACACTCGGCGCGCAGTTGAAATGACTGCTTTAACTTTTCATTGTCGCGTCCCTGGGCGAGCCCGGCGGCTACCACGGCCACAGGCCGGTCGTGCTCTGCCTTACAGCAGGGTGTCGAGCCTGTAGGGACCAATGGAAAGCCCAGTGGCGCACCCACCCCTTTTGGTGTGGGAGCCCCCGCCGGACTAGTCCGAGGGCAGGATGTGCAATTACTGAGCCTACTACACTACCAAGGCTGGGACGGGAGTGTGCCTGGCACACCACGGAGAGGGACGGTCTACGATTAGGGTGAACCTGGTTCACCGCGGAGGGCCGGGACACCACGCCCTCCGACAACTCGCCTGCTGCAGGGCCTTGTGCCAAGGGGTACACCCTCACAACTCTGTGAAAAAAAACAGAAAAACCACTCGTTTCATTTTTTTTTTTTGGCTTTTTTTTTTTTTAATGTTTGTGATTAAAAAAAAAAATATTTAAAGTTCATAAAATAGAATAAAAAATATGAGTTTGTAGATCTCAAAAAGATCTACAACCCTATATTTTTTGTTTTGTTTTTGCTTATTTTGTTTTCCTGCAAACAAAAATCTCCGCGGGTCGTGGTGAATCGCGATAAACTGGCGTTTCAACGCCAATTGACCGCGTTTTGAACGCGCGTTGAAAGATTCAACTCGGGACCCGCATTGAATCCATTTCCAGACACTCAGTACATATATAATTTGTGGAAGTGTGCCGCTTTGATGGAATATGGGTGTGAGGGCACATGCGCTTAACCACACAAACACGGCCAACCTTACATCTACTATATTGCCCATCTATACCTTTTTTTGTTTCATGGATTGTGATGATTTGTGGATGGAATGGGGGAGAGATTTTGGGGCTTTTTGAAATACGCACCTCTCTCCTTACTACCCCCGTTTTTTTTACCTCTCCTGCCCTTCCTCCGTTTCCCATCTTCCGTTCCCTCTTGCAGAACTAAATGCATATGGATGAGCATCACTAAGAGAATAGACAAAATACTGCATATGTGCTGAAAAGCAGACAGGTGTGTATGCATTCCACGCTCAAGCACAGACACATGGTGGACCTTGGACCTCTCGGAATGCAATGATGAAGCGGCTGTTTCATTAAAACAGCACAACCATTTTAAATATCACTCAAAACTTGAAAAAAGATCATAAGGTAAGTCCATTTCAATTTTGGATGCACTCATCAGAGTGGGGAAGGGGTTGTTGGTCTGGCAACAGTCACACACGCGCACACGTTTCAAAACGTCTCCATGCTCTAGTTTATAACCATGTCGGATCTATTAGCAGGGTATTGGATCCATTTTGCAATCTCATCAGGCTTTGATCGAGGACAGTTGCCTGAGCCACTGTAGTCCGACGAGAGGATAAGATTCAAAGGGTGAGGGAGAGACAGAGGAGAACGGCGAGCATGAGGCTGGCTGCTATGGAGTTCATAAAATCTTTCTCAGTTTTCTATCCCGCTGCCAGTGTTGTATTTCCCTTAACTTCTCAGGTTGTGTTTTAAATTCGTTAATATGATGTCATCTCATCTGATTCTTAATGTCAGGTTGCCCTAGGTTGCCCAATGTCATCTCATCTGGTGCATGGCTTTACATTTGTCAACTTTCTGTCAATTCCAAGGTCACACTATGTTAGCTCTGCTCACTATGTGGACATGTCTCAGCAGACATTGCTTCTTCTTGTTTCATCTCAGGTGATGAACTATGTTGTCTCTTGTAGGTTTGTTTCAGTTCAGGTGATGAACTATGTTGTATGTTGTTGGGTTGTCAATAATGTGTTGACAGATGCTTTGGCCAGATGGTATCTTCTTTTCGGATCACCCAGACAACAGACCTTCTCCGTACCCAGCAATTGTTCCAAACCCAGCTTATGTGCCTCTGTCAGGCAGAAGCTCACCTCGACGGCTGGAGAGGAATGGTCCACAGGTGAAGAAACCTGATGGCGAAGGAAAAGGAGCTGCACGCAAGCAAGGGAAGTCTTCACAGCCAACATTTCAGGAAAAGCTTGAAGCAGCGAGGAAAGCCGTGCTTGTCAAAGAACTTTTCGTCGGTGGGTATATGAGAAATGGGAACTTCTACCAGCCCATGCAGCAGAATGGTGCACATGCTTGTAACCCTGGATGAACAAATCATGAGTTAGAATCCTGATGGAATCTGCTGTAGGAAGTCGTGCTCCTGCGAGCTTCTTCAGCATCTTAGTAATTCAGTCACTCTCTTCGAGCGCACGACCGTTCGGCTTCCTGTAGGAGTTGCTGAATCATGACCGTTCAGGTTCCTCTGGGAGTCGCTGATTCAATGTGAAGAATGATGCAGTGATGTTGAGGGCTAACCCGGTGTAAAATATCATAGAATGTTTTTTTCCCGGGCACTCTCTGCAGCTTGTCAAACGATAAAATTGACCAGAAGGCTGTGTTAGACATCTGCCTAGGATGATGACTGCCGAAACGTTTACCTAGAGGGTTAGTTGTAATTATTCTCATGGTTGTATTTGAAATTGGTGTCATTTGTGACCCATTCTTGAATCCTCTTGTACACACATTCAAGCTGCCGAAGGATACCCAGACTTTGCACTGCTTGTTTTTTCCCTGCAAGGGAATGACATTCAGTTTTCTACCCCCCTTAATAACATTTTCAAGGTGTCCTTCAGGACATTAGTGTTATGAACCTGGTTGCTTGTTGTCAGATGGCCAACACTCGCTCACATATACTTCCAGGTATGCCCATACATACACAGAAGGAAGGGGAGAGGATGGGAGTATCACACCGCAAAGGAAGAGAGAAACACAGTGGAAGACTTAGTCATGCGATATGACAGAATACACTGAAAGTGCAAATCGCTCCACAGAATCCTCACAACCAGTCACAAAGGAAAGCTGAGCAGATCACATCCAGAAAACAATTAGCAAAGATAGTTCTCACACAGTATCAATACTGGTTATTAAACTCAGAACATCGTTTTGCCAGAATAGCCCCAGAACTATGGTGCGCTGCTCAGAAATGAGCAGTGCTTCTTCCCCCAACCCTGAATAACCACTATCACCACCTGAGTCCCTGAAACAACCAGCGCCACCCAGATATGGCCTCCAGAGAGAAGCGCGACCCTGAAACAGGCCTCTGAGGCCAAGCGCCTCTCAGAGGCTGAAGAAGAAGACCAGTGCCAGTCTCTGATGAAGATGAAGTGCCAGAAGGCCTCCGAGGTGAAGATCTTCATCAGCGCCACATCTACTGACAAAGATGATCTCTGAGGATACAAGCTGCAGCTGTGGCTGCAGCGCCACTACCCTGAAACCCTACTCCTGAGGAGGGTTCAGCAGTGCACCAACTTCTCCTGCTCCCAGCAGACCTCAGATAGCCCAAACCTCTGGACAGCCCCTCGTGCTGTCAGAGAACAGGGAAGGTTCCAGCTATGGCCGACGCTTCGAGGGTCTGGCTATGTCTGTCCTCCAACGCTGAAGCTGTACCACTCCAGTTTGCGCGTTGCATCCCGCGATGTGCACGATACCAACTGCCAAAAGCCCTGAACAAGCTTCTACAATCTATTAGCCTGGACTCAACCTAGACCGGACTGACTGGACTGACCGGTACAGTTTCAGTTTCAGCTTCTAGGGCCTCTCCCTACCCTGCTATAGGCTATAGGACGAATCTAACAGCATAGGCCTTACGGCCTGTCTGTCCTAGTGGTAGCCCGGGTCTGCTATTCGCAGTTAGGGTAGCTGTAGGAAATTTGAGTTAGTACGGGCCTATAGTTCCCCAAATTTACAGATATGTCCCTCACGAATTTTCCTCACAGTCAGATATCTCGGTTAGCCCTCAGCCAACAAAATTACGAGTCGGGCCTACCTAGGTTACAGCCTCGAGTCGACGAGCCGCAGGCTGCAGAATGAGCAAGTCATTGCATTAGCATGGCCCCTGCACAGGGGTGACGCACAGAAATTGGGAAATGGTCCAAATTATTAAAAATAATACAAAACAAACAATCATTTTCAAGGTGCTGGGCACAGTTTTGTGTCGGAGTTGCCTGTATGACCCATGCTTTCAGAAGTAGTACGAAAGCTTCAGGGCTTCTCAAGGCCTAAGGAAAATTTCAGGCGAATCCTTATAATTGATGACATATTTGCACACAAGTTCCTGTAGTGCAATTTCCGGAGATATCCTTGGCTTGTCAGTTTTCAAAGAAAAGCTGAAACATTTACAACAAAGGACAACAAAATTTCACATTTTCAAACGAAGACAAAAATGGCTAGAGCCATAAGGCATATTAAGGACCTGTTATATTGAAAAAATATTAAAATAAAGAAAAAACGACAAGGACATACTGCAATCGGACTCGCTTTCTTTTCCACCTCGCATTCACGCAAACGGATGGCAAGTCACACTGGCGCTCAGTGCCCACTCAAAGCTCAGAGATATGGAAGTTGGAAACACAATTCAGATACATGCTCGCTTCAACAGGCTATGGCGCATCAGCGCCTGTACAACTCTCTGTTCGTCACTGTGCTCAACTCCGCTGTTCACACACACTCAACTCAGGATCACCCTGGATATCCCACATGCGAGACACTGTATCACACACACGCACACACTACACTCGACTACCACCTAGGGCGGCTATGGCCGCTCAACCCTGTTGGCTATGGCTACGCAACCTCTACTCTGCCCACTTCGTCTTCGGGCACTCTGCAGACCACCTTGCACAAGTCGCTCAAGCAGCGCTTCCGCATGGCTCGCGCAGGGATGAATGAATGGCTGGACGCTGCCTCTTGATTTAGTGGCTGGTCGGCCTCTTTTCCGCCGGGCCCTGAGTGCACACAGTCCCACATGGTACTTGCTGACTGAACTAAGGGAGACTGGGACTGGGTACTGCTGACTCAGCATGGGTGGACCTCACCACTTGCGCATTTGCCTCTGGTCTGCTGTGAGCAACGTTTGAAGGGCCACTTCTGGACCTTCCGGAAGTCTGTGGACTTGGCCCTTCAACACTGTAGCAGCTACGACCTTGACCTTTCAGGACTGTAGCAGCTACGACCTGGACCTTTCAGAAATTCCACAGCTACGACTTCTAGAACTCACTAAGACCTCTATCAGACAGGTCTACATATCGAACCCCTACAACCTATGGACCCTACGACAGCCTACCAACTGTTACGAATACACAGGTCAGGGGTTCAACTCTCGGGGTCGACACAGGTAATGTACACAGGTAAGGTAAGGACTAGGGATCGAGCCCTGGGATCTGCATTCGCTACTGCTAACAGGTGAATACCGTTTCACTCCCGCCGGCCTAAATTCGAGGTCCTCCAAGAATAATTCAGTCCAAGACCGGATTTTTACCTTTTTTTCTCTCTCGTAGGCTCTAACTATGTCAGGAGCTGTTTCCAGGAGTTCAGTTCTAGTACACCAGCGGTCGTCCTTGGGTTCCTGATAAGCAAATCGGACCTTATACTGTTTCTGTGGACGACCTCTACCTCCTGTTCTGAATACGTCTTCGCCTACAATGCCCTCAATGTCATACCTTCCATCCATGTCCGGAGGGATCATGAATCTTCTTGACGGAAACTGTTGGCTTGTGACACAAGGCAACAACTTTGATGAATGAAACACAGGGTAGGTGTGGAGGTGTGCTGGGATCTCTACCGTGTAGGACGGCCCATCCTCCCCACCCTCAACTTCTAGAACTGGCCACGGTCCTCTGTACGCGGGCAATAACTTCTACAAAATGTTCTCCTCAAGAGCAAATTCTTTGGACTTGACCCAGACAAGGTCACCTACTTGGAACTGTGATGGGCGACGGTGCTTATTAGCCTGTTCTATCATTCTGTGTTGGGCCTTCTTGAGGTTCTCAACGACGGTAGCTAACTCCTCGTGCTGCATCGCAAACTCCCTAGTACCGGGCGGTAGCCTATGAATCTGATCCCGGTTAAGTCCCTCAAACTGTCTGCGCTGTCTAAAGGACTTGTGCAACTTATTGGGAGTACGGCAGGTGGCTAAATGGACGCTATTGTTATACGCACTGGTTACCTTGGGCAACATCTCATCCCAGTTGATCTGATCCGGTCTAATATACATGCGCAGACCTTGTTGCAGGATTTTATTCATTTGCTCAGTTTGACCGTGGGTCTCTGGATGACGGCCAGATGACATTAGCAACTTTGACCCATAGACTTTCATCAATTCTTGCCAGTTCTGACTAGTGAACTGGGTGTCTCTATCGCTAACTATAGACAACAGAATCCCGTGATCGCTCACCCAATGATCACAAAACTTACTGGATTACTAAATCAGTACGTGCCTCTGCAGACAAAGGAACAAAAACTGTGTATTTACTAAACCTATCGATTATAACCATGAGTTGGCTTTTGTCGTGCCTACTCTTGACGCTAGCATCCATGAAATCAATGGACACTGAGTCGCCAAGCTGATCGGGTATAGGCAAGGGTCGAAGAAGATCTAGAGGGGCACGCGTAGTTGTCTTATTTCTTTGACATACTTTGCAACTGCGAACATACTCTATGCAATCGGCTTTCATTCCTGGCCAAGCGTACGCCTGCATCAGGTTGGCTAGAGTCTTTTGCCAACCGAAATGTCCCTCTGTGTCGTGGCATTCCCCTAGGATCAGACTACGGATCTCCTCACTAGCAGGAACGCACATACGGTCTACTACGTTGGTCTTCTCGAACAGTAATCCCTCTATAGTTCGGTAATCTGGTTCAGTATTTGGGGCCTCCTTAACTTTCTTGAGAAGGTCACTATAAATAGGGTCTTGTGCATACACCTGTCTTACTTTCTCTTGCAGGTCTCTCCCTATATCCAGATAGTGAACTATAGCTCCAAAGTAGTCTGATCTCCTACTTAGAGCATCCGCAACTACATTGTACTTGCCTTTGACAGGCTTGAGCTCAAAGTCATACTGGTCTATTTCAGCGGGCCCACCTAGTTACCTTAGGTGTCATCTTGGCCTGAGTTTTCAGCCACCTAAGAGTCTCGTGGTCTGAATATACTTTGAAGTGCCTCCCAAGCAGGTAATGCTTCCAATGTTCTAAAGCCTGCCTG